TCTAAGAGGAAAATTTATAGCAATATAAGCCTACCTCAAGAAATAAGAAGCATCTCAAATAAAACATAGAACTTTACACCTAAAGGAACTAGAAAAGGAATGACAAACTAAGCCTAAAGTAAGTAGAAGAAAGAAAATAATATTCATCAGGGTGGAGATAAATGACATAGAGACTTAAAAAAAAAACAGTACAAAAGATCAATGAATCCAAGACCAGGGTCTGGAAAACGTAAACAAGACTGATAAATTTTAACCAAAATCTTCAGGGAAAAAAAAGAGGACCCAAATAAATAAATGAGAAATAAAAAAGGAGAAGTAATAACTGACAGCACAGAAATAAATATGATTATAAGGAAATATTAAAAACACCTATATGCCAATAAAGTGGACAATCTGGATGAAATGAATAATTTCCTAGAAATACACAATCTTCCAAAAATGAAACCTGAAGAATCAGATAATCTAAATAGATAGATTACCACTATCAAAATTGATGCAGTAATAAAAAATCTCCCAATAAACAAAAGTCCTGACTGGGATGACTTCACAAATAAATTTTAGAACATTCAAAGAAGAACTAATACGAATCCTTCTCAAATTATTCCAAAACATCGAGAAGATGGAAGACTCCTAAATTCATTTTATGGGTCCAACATTATCCTAATTTCAAAACCAGATAAAAACTTTACAAAGAAAGATTACAGGCCAATAGCCCTGATGAACATAGATGCAAAAATCCTCAACAAAATATTAGCAAACCATATCCAGGTATATATTTTTAAAAATCATACACCATGACCAAGTGGGGTTTATTCTTGGAATGCAAGGTTGGTAAAACATCAGCAAATCAATTAATGTAATACATCACATAGAAAAATAAAGGCTAACAATCATATGATCATATCAATAAATGCAAAAAAAAGCTTCTAACAAAATCTTACCACTTATTTCTGATTTTTAAACATCTCATAAAAGTGGAAATGGAACATATTTCAACATAATAAAGGGCATGTATGACAAACCCACAGGTAACATTATGCTCAATGGGGGAAAATAAAATCATTTTGTATAAGATTAGGACAAGACACTTTCACCATCATTATTCAACATTGTACTGGAAATGCTAGTCACAGCAATTAGACAAGAAGAAACAAAAGACATCTACTTTGGCGAGGAAGAAGTAAAACTGTCATTATTTGCAAATGATAAGTATATAGAAACCTTAACTACTCCTCTGCCAAAAAACTACTAGAACTGATAAATGAATGCACTAAAGTAGCAGGATATGAAATTAATATTCATATATTGATGACATTTTTATAAACCAATAACAAACTATAAGAGAAAATTTTTTTTAAATCCCATTTACAATTGCAAGAAAAAAGAAAGCTACCTAGCAAGAAATTTAATCAAGGAGGTAAAAGACCTGTAAGAGGAAAGTTAAGACACTAAAGAAAAAATTGAAGAAGATACAAATAAGTGGAAACATATACTGTGTTGTGTTCGTGAATAGAAAGAATTAGCAATATTAAAATGTTCACATTACCCAGAGCAATCTATAGATTCAATGCAATTCCTATCAAGATACTAATGGTATATAACACAGAACTAGGACAAATATTTCAAAAATGTATGTGGAACCACAAGAGACCCCAAATAGTATCAGCAATCTTGAGAAAGAAGAACAAAGTGGGTGGTATCACAAAATCTGATATTAAACTATACTACAAGCCAACAGTAATCAAAACAGCATGATACTGGCATAAAAACTGACATATAGATTAGTAGAACAGAACAGGAAGTGCAGAAATAAACCCACATCTTTATGGTCAATTAATATTTCATAAAGAGGGTATGAATATACAGTATACTCAATATATATGATAGTGGGAAAATTGGACAGATACATACAAAAAAAATGAAACTAGACCACTTCCTATACCATGCACAAGAATAAACTCAAAATGGATTAAACACTTAAAAGTAAGACTTGAAACCATACACATCCAGGAAGCAAAGAGAGTCCCAAACAAGTTAGATCCAAAGAGGACTACACCAAGACACATCATAATTAAAATGCCAAAGATAAAGATAAAGAGAGAATCTTAAAAGCAGCAAGAGAAAACAGAGTTACCTACAAAGGAGTTCCTATAAGACTGTCAGATGATTTCTCAAAAGAAACTTTACAGGCAAGCAGGGACTAGCAAGAAGTATTCAAAGTGATGAAAAGTAAGGACCTACTACCTAGATTACTCTATCCAGTAAAGCTATCATTTAGAATGGAAAGGCAGATAAAGTGCTTCTCAGACAAAGTAAATCTAAAGGAGTTCATCATTACCAAAACATTACTATATGAAATGTTAAAGGGACTTATTTTTTAAAGAAGATCAAAACTATGAACATTAAAATGGAAACAAATTCACAACTATTAACAACTAAATAAAAAAACAAACTAAGCAAACAACCAAAACGGTAACAGAATCATAGATATGGAGATCATTTGGAGGGTTATCAGCTGGGAGGGGGAAGGGGAAGAATGGGAGAAAAGATGCAGGGATTAAGAAGCATAAATTGGTACTTACAAAATGGGGGGATATTAAAAATAGTATAGGAAATGTGAAGCCAAAGAACTTATATGCATGACCCATGGACATGAACTAAGCAGGGAGGATTGCTGGAGGGAAATGGGGTAGGGGTGGAGGGGGGCAAAGGGGGGAAATTGGGGTAACTATAATAGCAGAATCAATAAAATATACTTAAAAAATAAAACCAAAAAAATAAAAAAGTTATAGAAGAAAACTTAGGCTGTAAAATCTCTGACATTTATTGTAGCAATATTTTTTTCTTCAGATATATCTCCTAGGACAAGGGAAACAAAAGAAAAAATAAACAAATGGCACTACATCAAACTGAAAAGTTTTTGCTCAGCTAAAGAAACCATCAACAAAATGAAAAGATAACCCACCGAATGGGAGAACATATTCACCAATGATACATCTAATAAGGGGTTAATATCCAAAATTTATACTGAACATACAAAACTCAACACCAAAATAAAACCCAAACAATTCAATTAAAAAAAAAATGAGTGAAGGACCTGAGTAGACACTTCTCCAAAGAGGATATATAGATGGACAATAGACATATGAAAAGATGCTCAATGTCACTAATCATCAGAGAATTGTTCATTAAAATCACAATAAGGTGTCACCTCATACCTGTCAGAATGGCTATCATCAATATATCAACAAACAAATGCTGGTGAGGCTGTGGAGAAAGGGAAACCTGGTGCCCTGCTGGTGGAATGCAGACTGGTGCAGCCACTGCAGAAAACAGGATGGAGTTTCCTCACAACATAATAATGGTGCTGCCTTACGGCACCATTGGAATCGTTGGGTAATAATGACCCAACGATTCCAATTCTAGGAATACACCTGAAGAAACTAGAAACACTAATTTGAAAGAATATTTGCTCCCTTATGTTCAGTGCAGCATTATTTGCAATAGCCAAGATTTGGAAACATCCCTAATACCCCTGTGTAGATGAGTGGATAAAAAAGTTGTGATACATTTATATAATGAAATACTACTTCACCATAAAAAAGAAGGAAATTTTACCTTTTGTGACAAGGTGGATGGACCTGGAGAGTATTATGTGAAGTGAAGTGAGCCAGTAACAGAAAGACAAATACCATATGTCACATGTGTGGAATCTAATGAACAAAAGAAACAAAGTAGAAACAGATGCATAGATACAGAGAACAGACTGACAACTGTCAGAGGGGAAGAGATTTGGGAGGCTGGGGGAACACATGAAGGGAATAAACTAAAAAAAACCCAACAACTCATAGTCACAGACAGCTGTATGGTAATTACCATAGGAAAGAGGAGGTGGGGGCAGTCATCACAGACAACTTTCTGATGAAAATGTGATTGGTAGTATCAGGTCACATATCAAAGGAAAATGGAGGATTTGAATTTCATTTTCTGACATTTTATTTTATTTAATAGTATCTTTTATGTAACACAATAGAAATTTATTTTTATTAGTGTAAAAATTGTCTTTACAATCTTGTTTTGTATTTATCACTGTTATTTATTATAAAGAGCCCATTTCACAGAAATATATTAACTGAAATGGAATGGACACACAGCTACTTTTGTTCTGAAGTTCAGTAAGATGGAATGCAATTTTTAAAAGTGAATTAAATTTTCTCTAGTATACAACCAAAATACATATGCCAGCATTCTGGATCACACTGAAATTCATATATGATAGGATTAGCTGAGCAGAAAGTAACCAAAATGATGAGACAAAATATTTGTAGCATTTGTTAGCTTTTAAAAAAATTCCTATGTGGTTTTGGTCATTTTGAATATTCATTTTTTAATTAGTATTTTTCTTCTTTTTAATTTGAAGCAGATTCTCAAATTATATTGTCATCACCCCCTTGCCCACCAAATCTAATCCACTCTTGTATAAGCAAGAAACATCTGTAAGTATACACAACAAAATAATAATTAATTTGGGCTATAACACCAGGAAATTTATGCACATGAAGGCATTGGTACTTTTCTTGTTAATGGGGAAAAAAAAGGTTGAACACAAAATACTCTATGAAAAAGGAAGGAGAAGAATTGAAGAGGTGAAAAAAATTAAGGAAAAAAATTAATAATAATGACGTCTTCCCTCACAAAACTATCCCTGTTGTTCTTTGCCTCACATTCAGCCTGGTACTCGGTCTTCCTTGCTGGTTCAGGGAACACAGCCAACGGAGGAGGAGGTCAACCTGGGATTCTGAAGGCAGGTGTGGAGGAACCACGACTTTCCTCCCATCTTACCTGCCTCAGATGAAAAACAAAAACAAAAAGAAAAGCGAAGGTAGTAGGGCACCCAAACGATTCAATTCTCAAAAAAAAGCACATGTCCTTTCCATCTGGGTTCTTATCAACCCGAGCCATAACTGCTTGCCTGTAATATCTGGCACGTTTCAGCTCCTAAAGAGAACAGTTGGTATCCGGAGGAGCCGGGCGCTGAAGGAGCTGGAAGAGCGCAGCTGCCAACGTGTGCCCTGCCTGCAGCTCCCAAGACAGGTAAGTTAACTCCTGGACTTGGTTTTCCCTGCGCACGTTCTCGTGTTCCTTAAACCTCGGCAACAGCAGAACGTGCCCAAAGGCACATCCCACATGGAAGGGCAGGTTGGGCACTGGAGGGCAGGGAGGCAGCAAGAGGCTAGTGCTGGGGCAGGGCTCCCAGCAGGTGGGCATCTCTGGATCAGAGGCCCTGGAGAGGCAGGCGACCTGCGCGCGAGCCTCTTGTCCCCAGGATGAGCTGCTCTTCTGGCACTCACCCAGCGCCACACAAACAGCCCTGCATTGGCGGGGGGGGGGGGGGGGGACGAGGAAAAACGCATCCTACCTCAAATGTCTAAAGGGGCTAAAGTCCTTCCTGGCCCTGAGGGAGGAAGCCCGTCAGCTTGCAGAGATGCTCCGTGGACTCCTTCCCCCTTCCCCTCCCTCATCCCTCCTCAGGCTGTCCCTGCTCCCTCACCCCAGCCAACCACTGGAGAAACTGAAAGAAAAGATGATTCTTAATTCACAGACAATTCAAATCCTCAAAGATTGACTGATTAAGTATTTTTATATTAACAATACTTAATATTGCAAGAATAGTACAAAGGTGAGTTATATAGAATAACTCAATCTCACGCTCACTAATCAAATGTTATAAATAACTATAAGATCAAATAGTGTTTGTTTATCATGCATTATTTCTAATTTGTGGTCCATACCAGGCACTGTATCACAGTATCCTTTGATACTTGCTGACAAGTCAGGGCTTGGGGCAATTCTCACCATCACTTCAGATAACTAGTTGACTCTCCTGAAGAATAAACTTTGAAAAACAATCCCATACAGTATAACGATTTCATATTATTTGTTTGTTTGACATTAATAGCTTTTGGATTGGGTATTTCGGTATACTTAGATTTTTTTTTAAGTTTTGTTAATGCATCTATTTCTACCCAAAATTTTGAATATTCAGTCCAAGAAATAAGCTCTGCAATTCCTCCCGATAATACACCAATAAAAGATTCATGCTTTACTCCCAAATTCTGCTCCCAATCACCTATAAGAAAGTAGAGAAACAGTACAAAAGTACAAAAGTACAACGCCCTTTGTACTGTTTAAAAAATTCATGTTATTTTCTGACAAGATTTTAGGTGCCTTATTATTTCTTGGCAATTTGCAGTTCACTGAATATATCAACGCATTTGAATGTGTTGCTTAACTTGCTCATTGTTAAAACACTACACTAATTCTGGAAAATTTCTTAATTTATTGAAACCCTGTGTGGTACCTACCAGCCTGTAAAGGAATGAATCAGGCAAGAATTCTTACTGAATCTATTATAAAACACTAATAAGAAAATGGAGCCTCACAGAGATAAGTTCCCGTTTCAAGGTCTCACAGACAGTAAGTGATTCGAACCCTGGGTCTTGAACCCTGGTAGCCACTCCAGGATCTGTGCTCCGACATCCCAGGGCTGCCCTGGGTTCCTCCCACAGGACTCACCCTCCCTGACTGGCCTCCCTCCAGCTGCTGCCGCTGGTCCTGTCATGCCTGCTCATCATCCTCGTGGGATGTGTCCCCCCACTTGCTTCCCACTGGGAGAGAAGTGTCACCATTTCAGATCAAAGCCAATCCTTCATCTTCACTTAGAAATTACCCTCCCTGCTCTCTTAGACACTCAATTTTTCATCAATGCATACTTAGGATTCAGTATGGAGCACATCATTTTAACAACACTATAAATCTAATCATATATTTAATCTTCCTAATAACCCTAATGACCAATATAGTTTTATTTTTAGTGTTGCCATTTTATCGAAGAACAAACTGAAGCACAGAGAAGTTAATTTTTCTAACGGCCACACAGCTAGGAAAGTATGGGAATGTATGAAAGTTGTTTAGCATTGTCTTTGAGAAAATAAAGGGGCAATCAAAGCACTTTGACTGCTCTCTGTCGGTTGATTTCATGAAATACGCACTGTGATGAAAACACTGAAGTAGGGCCTCACCCAGCCGTGGGACTCTGGTAGATCTGGGCAGACCCTAAAACGCCCTGACTACTGCCTCTTTTTCCTGTTAGCATATAAATAAGAAATGTCCTTTTATTCCAGTTAAATAAATGAATTCTTGCACTCATAACTGTAAGGCCTATAAAGATCTGTCCTATGGTGTTCTGAGAGTGAGTCGCATTCTTTATCTCTTTTCCTTCTTCTTCTTAAAGTCTCCCCTCCTCCAGCTACTCCACTCCCACAATTCATTAAGCATGCCCTGCTCAAGGTCACAGGCCACATTTATTTCTCTCTCTGAGAGGCCTCCCTAGCCACCCTCTATATAATCCAACCCCACACTCCCTACCACAGTCCCTGCGTATTTTCTCCTGAGCACTTCCCATCATCTAATAGATATATATGCATGTTGCTTATTTGCTTTATTAAGCATCTGTCTCCTCCCACTAGAACAGAGCTCCTTCAGACAGGAATTTGTATCTATTTTATTCACCAGTTGATACAGAGCACCTAGAACAGTGCCCAGCCCATGGTAGGTACCCAGCTAAGGAGGAATCAAATCCTTCTGGAACTCCAGATATTGCCTCTGGTCACTCCTCACCTCCTGCATGCCCCATCCTGCCTCTACTTACCCATAGTATGTTAGTGTTCTCAAGGCTCCATCATCAGTGCTTTGCTTTTCTCTTTCTATTCCTTTTATGCATTATGTAAGCAAGGTTGTATTGTCACTGAGGAAAGACCGGGCCCAAAGTGGGTCTTTCTCAGGCCAGCGTGTAGTGTATGGGTTCTTGACTTCGTGAAGAAAAGATTTCATGACAGGAGTCCAGGTGATTTTGAGAGTATGTTTTTTAAAGTTGGGGACAGTAGGGAAAAAAGGAGTTAGGGTAGAAGAAGCAACAGAGAGAACCTAAGCAGTGCTCTGCTTTGACTCCCCAGAAAGGTAATTGGAAGGAAGTGTGCTGAGGTGTGGCTGCTGTTAAGTTACTTGGAACAGTCACAGTGACAGAAATGAGCTGAAGCGAGTCTGCTTTTAGCTCACTGGAAAGTCAGAGAGAAGGGGGGACCAAGAGACAGGATCAAGGGGAAAGACCGTGACAAGGGCTCACTGCTCCCCTGATTTTAAGTCTCATGGGACCCTTAGAGCTTAAGAAGAAGACAGTAAAAAGTTCATACCCAAGAAAGGGCGTGGGCGTGCTCTAGAGACTGGTATACTCTGTCTTGAAGGTTATGTCTTCCTTCTGTGTTAGGGGAGGTTTTCAGCAGAATAACCATCAGCTTTCCAGGCATGTTTTTAATACACCAATGCTTCAAAATAAGCATAGAGGGGAGTTTGGGGTTATTCTATTATCTGCTTTACTGTTTTACTTTTATCTTGGGTCTGTCTGACTTTAATTGAGTTATTTGTTTCCCTGACTTCATCTCTTTTGGGGTCCAGCTAGAATAAATGGCACTAACTGGTTCTCTGTTCTCTATTTCTCCAACCAGGGCTATTTAAGCTATGTATCTATGGTTAGGGAGGAGAGGTGTAAACCATTTGCTCTCAAGTGTCCTTGGTTAGGGAAGATAAGGTCTTGCAATTCACTAGGTGGCTATAAGTTGTTCAAATTGTTTGGCCTTATTTAATTTTTCTTGCCTCAATTTCCAAATTCCATTTGCCCAGGAATTTTCCTACCTTCTTACTATCCTCCCTCAGTTTTAGGGTTCATTTATGGATTAATTTGATAATGTACATAAAGTATCTGTATCAGGCCTTGACACACTAAGCTAAATCTTATCTTTTAGGAACATACAAAATGTGTAAGCTCCAGAAGCATAAATTTGATGGTGCAAATGTCTTCTGTAACCACTAGATATGACTTTGGGATCTTGTATTTTACTGAGTTTTTCCTCTGGGTTCCAGCTTACCATGGCATCTGGATCCACTACAATGAACCCCATCTGCCTGGTAGAAAACCAGAAAAATCAGCTGAGAGTAAATCCCAAAGCACTTGAGATTCTCGACAAGATCTCTCAGCCTGTGGTGGTGGTGGCCATTGCAGGGCCATATCGGACAGGAAAATCCTATCTAATGAACCGCCTGGCAGGGCAGAACCATGGTGAGTGTTGCTCGGGGTCATTTGCTTGGAAACAGTGACTATACAGGCTGATCCTACCTCCTTCAGGGTCATCTTAGGCAAGAACCTAACTCCTCCCACTGAAGAAAAATTAAATTCTCATTGAAAAATTCATAACTTTAACTCCATCTGTCCACAGAATTCTCACTCATTTGTTCAGTAATAAAGTGACCCCCAAATTTATCAAAGGTCCACCCTATAAACCATCACTGGGGGGCTCAGCTCCAGAATTTATTCTTTCCCTTTCTCCTAACTCTTTAGCCCTAAACTATAGGGTAATTTCAGTAACATCCAAATATTTTTCAATATTTCCTGTTTTTGAAAAGGAGTAGGAAGCAGAACAAACAGCGGTATATTCTAAGTATTATATCTCAGTGGGGATACCACCTAATTATTTGCTTCATATCATAGCAAAACTTTGATGAATTATTATACCTCTCTTTCTCCCTCCCTCCCCAGTTGTTTTTAGTGTGTGAACTATGACTCATGTAGAAAAGTGTATACCACATACATATACAATAACATTAATAAATATAAAATGAACATCTGTGTAATCACTGCCAAGATCAACAAATAACACATCATCAACACCCAGATGCCCCAATCATGCCTGCTCACACCTCGCTATAGCTCACCAATGTTTTGATTTTCATGGTTCTCTCCCCCTACCCACACCTTTCTCCCTCTCTCCCTTTCCTTCTTTCTTCCTCTCTTCTTTTTGATTCTTGATATCCCACTGACTTCTAACAAAAAAATTTTGTCTTTGTATTTCTTTTAGAGGAATTCTTAACCACCAATCAGGGGAGGACACTTTTCCTTGCCTTGCTTGAATTAATTATAGGGTTGTTTTGTTTTGGGGTTTGTTTGGTTTTTGTTTTGGGTTTGTTTTTTTTGTGTGTGATTAAAGGTTTGAGAATTCAGAGAGACGTTAGCCAAGTGGTTTCAACAATGTGCTTTTTATTCTACTTAAGTTTAACATCAGGTGAGAACCAGGTGACTTCCCATTCCTGAGGAAGTCTCTACCCAAATTGTGATTTTACCACACCGCCCATATCACAGAAAGAATAAAAAGAAAGAGATTTGCACCCAGTCAAGTTCCATGAACATGACCAGGTCCTCCCTCTCTCTCTCTCTCTTTCTCTCTTTCTCTTTCTCTCTCTCTCTCTCTTTCTCTCCCGATGACTTGCTTTAAATGTTTTTTACATCTCATACTTGAGAGCAGTGACCTCAAATTACACCTTGTCTTTCCCCACTGGGGGAATAGGAACTTCAAATTACTTTATATTTGTCAGAAAGAAAACAAACAATATCACATATGGAAGAATGCTGACCATGTCAGGCTTTATATCCTCTCTGTGGACTACACCCTGAATGTGGAAATTGAATGTCCCGAGCCATGAGGAGTCAACCTCCCCTAGGTATTTCATCATCTTCACTTCTATTCTTCATTGAAGGAAACATTGGCATATGTCAGGTGTTCAAAATCCTGGACTATGGAACAGGATATATCATCAGCAGCTTCCTGGGCGTATATCTCATATCATCTCTCACTGTGTATTTAATTTCAGCTTTAGAAAAAAGGATCTAGAAAATCTCACAGGTCCTTTCTGCTTCTCTTCCATCTTATCCCCACCTGAGGCAGTGAGCAAAGAACTGATCACTTGTTTAAAAAAAGAAAAAGACAGCTGGTCAAGATGCTGGCATAGATATACACAGCTTGCCTCCTCACACAACCACATCAAAATTACAACTAAATTATAGAACAACCATCACTCAAAACCAGTAGAAATCAAGTTGAATGGAAGCCTGACAACTACAGAATTAAAGAAACCACACCGGTCCAGACTGGTAGGAGGGGAACTGACAAGAAATGGGCTGGTCCCATTTCCACATGTGTTGGATAAAACTTTAGGATATTTCAGGAACTAAGAGTCCCAGTCCCATACCATGCCCCCAAGCCCAGACTTCCAGTGCCAGGAAGATAAGTCTCCATTACTTCTGGCTGCAAATACCTGTGGGGATTGAGTTGGTGGAAGAAACTTCTGGAGCTCCAAGCAGTTTCTCTTAAGGAACCCACACACAAACTTACTCAGACTCACTCCCTTTGTGATGCATCACTGACTAGCAGCTTGGAAGGCACCACTGGCATGCAGGGAGGAACTGAAGTGTCTGGCCTCAAGGCGAGAGCTGGGAGACAGCTTTCTCCCAGACAGAAAGGCAGCCAGAGCCATGGAACCAGCATGTGGGGGCTATAACAGAGACTCCATCAATCTGGCTAACACTTCTCTACCCTGGAGATTCCTGAGACTCTGTCCCACCCAACTTACAGCTTTTATAAGTAGGTTTTCCATATGAGCGGTTGGTCTTGGCTCATGCTTCACAAGTTCCTAAATCCTTTTAAATAAAACAACAGCTGGCCTCAGTGAGCTCCCAGTCCCCATGCCTCTTGCTAAGTAGCCCCAGGCACAGCACTAGCAGCAGTCAGCCCAGATTCATAGCTTGGCTTCACTTAGGAATCTCCAAGCCCAGCACAAGCAGCAGCCATCTCAGATTGGTCTATAGCTTAGGCAGGGTGGCCCTGGGGCAAAACACAGGATGGGCTGACCATGGCCTGCACCAACCATGAAACCCAAGAGCCTGCACACTCAGTGGACATCTACAGAGACAAGAAGAACAGAGACACAATCGTGGATACAGAGAGCATTTTGATGGTTGCGATATAGGGGAATGGATGAAGAGGTTAAGGGATTAAGAACTACATAGATAGTTATAGAATAACCATGGGGATGTAAAGTACAGCATAGAAAATCAAGTAGACAAAGAACTTACGCACATGACTTATGTACATGAACAATAGTGTGAGGTGAGCCTGAGGGAGTGAGGGATGCTGGGTGGAGGGGGGCAAAGGAGAATAACTGGGACAACTGTAATAGCATAATTAATAATATATAATTTAAAAAGAAAAAATGAGGAAAATACAAGGATGAAGGTAAGAAAAAAATTTCAACAAAAGCTGATGTATCTTACAGGTCCTAGCAGGACACAGATGACCCATTCAGCATCCTGGACTCTCTGCTCTTACTGTATATTGCTTCCTTTTCTTTGCAGGTTTCCCTCTTGGCTTCATGATGCACTCTGAAACCAAGGGCATCTGGATGTGGTGTATGCCGCACCCCTCCAAGCCAAATCACACTCTGGTCCTTCTGGACACTGAGGGTTTGGGTGATGCAGAAAAGGTGAGGCGGAGAACCTTCTTACTTTTTGGCACATTTTAATATGCCAGCTCAGTTAAAATTTTATGACATATTACTCTAAAATACAAATTCAATTATGACTAATGAGGCTAACTTCTTGAATTTACTTTTGTTGAATTTACTTTCTTGGTAAACTCAATACTTTGATTAGGAATAGATCTTTTTATTTTAATGCAGGTGCAGATGATACATGTCAAATACTTACTGGGCAGCTGCAGTCAGGGCTTTCTGTTAAGTACTACAGATATAACAGTGAATGAAGTAAGCCCCAGAAACTAGTTGAAGAGGAAAGTAATATGCAGTGTTATCAGAACAGGGTACCATGGATACAAAAATTGAGAACCTAACCCTGTTGGTCCTGAAAGAAGCTATAACTCATGGGATCTACTAGTTAAAGGGTGTGAGATTAATGGGGTTTGAGGTAGGACCCAGGAAAAGGGGTTGCAGTAAAGTAACCTACTTAAATAATCTCCAGAAAAGCTTCAGCTGCACTAGGAATATGCCTTCCTTGAAGATGAATTCTGCACTGACTCCTATAAAAACATGTATTAGACCCACAAAAAGCACTATTAAGGGATAATATAATGCAGTATTTTGTACTTATAGTGATCCTTGCAATTCAATATTTTCTCATTATTTATATTAGTGTGTGTCTAAGCTCAGAGTAGCACCAGTGAATCTTTGGCTTCCATTACTGCAAAAAAAATTTTTTTTTAAATTTTTTTCAGCAGATCTCTTCTGGTTTATTTGTTATGCTTTTTCTTTTTTTAAGCATATTTTATTGATTATGCTATTACAGTTGTCCAATTTTTTCTCCCCTTTATCCCCCTCTGCCCTGCTTACCCTCTCTAACCAGTATCCCCACCACCACCTTAGTTCATGTCCATGGGTCGTACATATAAGTTCTTTGGCTTCTCCATTTCCTATACTGTTCTTAACTTCCCCCTGTCTATTTTGTGCCTACCAATTATACTTCTTATTCCCTGTACCTTTTACCCCATTCTCCCCTCTTCCCCACCCCTCTGATAACTCTCCATGTGATCTCCATTTCTGTGATTCTATTCCTGTTCTAGTTGTTTGCTTAGTTTGTTTTTGTTTTTGTTTTCTACGTTCAGTTGTTGATAGTTTTGAGTTTGTTGTCATTTTACTACTCATAGTTTTGATCTTCTTTTTCTTAGATAAGTCCCTTTAAGATTTCAAATGATAAGGGCTTGGTGATGATGAACTCCTTTAACTTTACCTTCTCTGGAAAGCACTTTATCAGCCCTTACATTCTCAATTATTGCTTTGCTGGATAGAGTAATCTTGGACGTAGGTCCTTGTCTTTCATGACTTTGAATACTTCTGTCTGGTTTCTTCTTGCTGTAAGGTTTCTTTTGAGAAATCAGCTGATAGTCTTGTGAGAACTCCTCTGTAGGTAACTCTCCTTTTCTCTTGCTGCTTTTAAGATTGTCTCCTTATCTTTAATCTGGGGTAATTTAATTATGATGTGTCTTGGTGTGTTCCTCCTTGGGTCCGATTTCCCAGGACTCTCTGAGCTTCCTGGACTTCCTAGAAGTCTATTTCCTTCACCAGACTGGAGGAGTTTTCTTTCATTATTTTTTCAAATAAGTTTTCAATTTCTTGCTCTTCCTCTTCTCCTCTGGCGCCCCTATGATTCCAGTTGGGACATTTAAAGTTGTCCCAGACATTCCTAAGCCTCTTCATTTTTTGGAATTCTTGTTTCTTCATTCTGTTCCAGTTGAATGTTTATTTCTTCCTTCTGTTCCAATTTGTTGATTTGAGTCCCGGTTTCTTTCTCTTCACTGTTGGTCCCCTGTATATTTTTATTTCACGTCCAATAGCCTTCACTTTTCCCTCTTATTTGCAGCTATACTCAATCATATCTGTGAGCATCCTGATTATCAGTGTTTTAAACTCTGCATCTGATAGGTTGGCTATCTTCTCATTGCTTAGCTCTTTTTCTGGAGTTCTGATCTGTTCTTTCATTTGGGCCATATTTCTTTGTCTTGGTGCACCTTTTACATTGTAAGGGGCAGAGCCTTGGTTATTCACCAGGGTGGGGCAACCTACATAGCTGTGTTGTGGGGCTGTAGGTGGGGGAGGGGTCAGAGAGGGAACAATGTGGCTTGCTTGGCTCTCGCCCCACTTTCAGTCACTTCCCTTGCTACCCACATGCAAAATGGACACTTGTGGTGCTGATTCTTGGGTGGGTGGGTTTGTGTATGTTCTACAACCCCATGGGTCTCGCCAATGAACTCTTCTGTGAGGCTGGGAGTTTATACTGCCACCACTACTCCCACTGGTTTTTACATCCAGAGGTTTTGAGGCTTCAGTTTCCTCCTGTGGAACCCTGGGTTGTGCTGTCTGTCTCGGTCCCCAATTGTTCCTGCTGGCTTATCTGCATGTGAATGTGGGATATCCAAGTCTATCAGCTGCTACCTCACCCACCTGGTCTGCTGGCTTTCCGCCTACCATCTTTGCCCCCATTGCCTGACTCCGCCCCTCCTACTAGTCTGGATGGATGTTTCTTCTGTAACTCCTTGATTCTCAGACTTCCATACACTTATATTTTCTGGCAGTTCTGGTTGTTTTTGTTTTTAATGTGGCTGTTATCCTGCTTTTGGTTGTACGGGGAAGCAATGAGTATTTACCTATGCCTCCATCTTGGCTAGAAGTCTCTTTTTTTAACTTTTTTTTAAAGGTGGGGGAATAAATTTAGAAAATCTAAATGTAAAAAATACTCAATAATCAGCTCAGCATAAACCCATGATTATCTACTGATGTCTAATAGATTGTGGTTTGCATAAACCGTCTTCTTTTTACATAATCATACTTGTCAAGGCAACAAGACATACCAAATTGTACTTCTAGAAACAGAATTACTTGGTGCCCTTAAACTTTCGTGTATTTCCATAGTATCTAACGCTATTGCAAAGTCACTCATCACTTGCCCTGAATCTTGTTTTCAGCCTCATCATCTACTCCCACCAACCACACACATAACCACTACTTCAATCAAATGAAATAACCCTGTAATACTTTTATATGGCCACACTTCTGACAATTCTGATTGGCTTTGGTTGGTCCTACTACCTGTATGGTCTCTTTTGCTCCACAATTCCACATTCTGCCAATTCTTTAAAGCCCAGCTATTTTCAATTTAATGGGATTATACTGCATTCAGATTTAAATCACTTCTTGCCCTGAAATCATGGAGTACTTTTTCTAGATTTTGCATTCCCCTTTGTCTTTTATGTTATAGTGTTGGATTTCACTCTAGGCAGAGTTTATCACCTTGGATGCATTTATATGTTGCCTTGTACATCTGACGCTCCAGCGAGTCATCTCTGGAGGTCAGAGACTGCCCTACGGAACTTTATATCCATAGAAGCAAATGTAGTAGCTGGAATTTTTTAGACTCACAATGAATAGTTGATGAATTTAATTGAACAGCATTTTTGTCCACAGTTAGCCTGTGGTTGGGAAAAATTTGCAAAGAGATCATTGCCCAAAGCAAGAAATACTTACTGTAATAAGCATATCAGTAATTAGTTTAGAGGAAAGGGATTATAATAGAGAGGGAGACAGTCAGGTCTTCTAAAGACATTTACAATGTCTCTTTCTTGATGGTTAGAGGAGTGTTTGCTTTATGGTTTGTTAATTTGTATATTTATGTTTTATATGCCTTTCTGTATGTTCCATGGTTCTAGTGAAAACATTAAAAAAGAGAAATAGAAAAAGAAATATCATTACCCAATTATTATAGAATATGTCTATGTTTTAGGCAATGTATTAAATATATGGCACATCTTTACAGTGTTGTTTACTTCTATTAATAGCTAAATAAATCCAGGCCGTGGGGGGTCGATGTAAATACCCAAAATGAGGCTTGAATTTAGCATCATCTTCAGAGTTGTTGTTACTCACTCTACTATTCAGTCATTGTAGAGCTTACATAGTGCACAAGCAACTGAATGAGTGAATGAAGAATAGACACTGAACTCACTTTTGACATGCATACTCCTCTTGTACTCTCAAGTTAATGATGGGCAATGGCTGCTGAGTGGAAGAGAGAAAACTGATTCTCACACTGGAAAAGTCTCCCTGCTTCCCCCTTCCCAGTGGCTTTCAGTGCTTGGGAGGAATGTCCCAGTGCCACCAAATCACCGGCAGACCACCTTGCCCAGCATGGGGTTAGTCAGCAACAAGTACATCTAGCAGACCAAGCCCCTTACATTGGAGCATACCATCAACCTAGACTTTCTCACCAAGTACACTTTTGCTACAAAAGAGCCCTTCTATGGAAAGGATAGCTCTGTTGCAGCCACATTTCAGCATGTGAGGGAGGAACTTGATAAAATTTAATGAGGATGACTATAGAAGGGATTCTGATTATACATGAGCACTGGCTACCCATGTATTACTGCTACAGTTGGGGAAAACTTTCTTTGAATTACCTGATGATGGACTTAACCCCAGAGAAGATGAAGTCAAAGGACTGAAAGGTTTAATGACAGAGATACCAGGTGGTCAAGATGGAGTCCTGCAAGACTGAGTCATTGATGACTGTATTGGTAACTGGTTGAGACCAAATTTTGAACCTCCACAGCATCCGTAAATGCCTGAACATATTACCAAACCTAAGGAACACAAGTTGTTTGGATTCAAATTCAAGAGAAAGCCTTGTATGCAGTCAGTCCCTAAAAATTACAAGCGGTAACTGCACCATCATTTGTATTTATGACAATGTACCGGGATACTGACCCATCATTTCTAGTATCCCTCAGCTTTTGAGAAGGTTCAATTTTATATACAACTGAATCCCCACACCCTGAAGAAGTAAAAGAAGTGGTCTCTGAGCACAGCTCTACATTGTGAAGAATAAACATGGTAGAAAATGTTGTTTTGGGCTTTATTTCTTTTCCAGTCCCTAAATTGCCACCTGCTTTCTATTGTTTAATAGTAACATTAATATGAAG